ATGGTGGTGCATGCCTGTAGTCCCAGTTACTCGGGAGGCTAAGCCAGGAGAATGGCTTGAACCCAGGAGGCGGAGGTTGCGGTGAGCCGAGATCGCGCCATTGCACTCCAGCCTGGACAACAAGAGCGAAACTCCGTCTCAAAAAAAAAAAAAAAAAAGAGTCTCGCTGTGTGCTGTGTTACCCAGAATGGAGTGCAGTGATGTGATCACAACTCACTGCAACCTGAGGTTAAAGCTATCCTCCTGCCTCAGCCTTCCATGTAGCTGGAACTTCAGGCATGTGCCACTGCATCTGGCTAAAAACTTTTTTTTTTTTTTTTTTAAGGAGAGACAGTTTTTTTTTAGCCAGGCTGGAGTGCAGTGGCGCGATCCTGGCTCACTGCAATCTCAGCCTCCCAAGTAGCTGGGACTATAGGCGCACGCCACCATGCCCAGCTAATTTTTGTATTTTTAGTAGAGACGGGGTTTCACCATGTTGGCCAGGATGCTGACCTTTGCAAAATACTTCCAACAAACATGTAAATAAAATTTACAAATGGATTTCAAAATTCTGAACCTAATTAATTCAGTCTTTAATACCAACAATATAAAGTAGACAGAAAAATACTCATTTTTTTTTTTTTTTATTTTGAGACAGTTTCGCCCTTGTCACCCAGGCTGGAGTGCAATGGCACAATCTCAGCTCACTGCAACCTCCGCCTCCCAGGTCCAAACAATTCTCCTGCCTCAGCCTCCCAAGTAGCTGGAATTACAGGCCTGCACCACCAGGCCCGGCTGATTTTGTAGTTTTAGTAGAGATGGGGTTTCTCCATGTTGCTCAGGCCGGTCTCAAAATCCCAACCTCAGATGATCTGCCCGTCCCTGCCTCCCAAAGTGTTGGGATTATACGAGTGAGCTACCATGCCTGGCTTTTTTTCTGTTTTTTGCTTTTTTTTTGGTGACAGAATCTTGCTGTCTCCCAGGCTGGAGTACAGTGGCATGATCTTGGCTCGTAACCCCCACCTCCTGGGTTCAAGCAATTCTTGTGCCTCAGCCTCCCATGAGGCTGGAATTAGAGGCACATACTACCATGCCTGGCTAATTTTTGTGTTTTTAGTGGAGACAGGGTTTCATCATGTTAGCCAGGCTGATCACAAGCTCCTGGCCTCAAGAAGTCCACCTGTCTCAGCCTCCCAAAGTGCTGGGATTACAGGTGTAAGCCACCATGCCTGGTCTTATGCTTACTTTTAAATTTTTAACTAAATAAAAATCTAAGTTATAAAAGTTATAACTTTTATAAGTTACTTATATAAGTTATAAAAGTAACATATAAACTGATATAGTAGCTCATGCTTGTGATCCCAGCACTTTAGAAGGCCAAAGGAGGAGGACTGCTTGAGCAAGGGTTTGAGACCAGCCTGGGCAACACAGGGAGACGCCATCTCTGCAAATAATTCTAAAAATTAGCCAGGTGTGGTGGTGCACTGCTGTGGTCCCAGCTACTCGGGAGGGTGAGGCAGGAGGACTGCCTGAGCCTGGGAGATCCAGGCTTCAGTGAGCTATGATTGTGCCACTGCACTCTAGTCTGGGTGACAAGGTGAGACCCTGTCTTAAAAAAAAAAAAAAAAAAAAAAGTTAAACATACCTACTTGTTCACGATTAAAAAAAAAAGGAAACTACCCTAGAGAAGGATTCAAAAAAATAGTGGTAGGCCCTCTTATGCTACCACACAGCTCAAATCCTTTATTCTCTACAGGGCAGGCCTGTAGAGACACTTTGCTTTGTCCTTCCAGATCTTTCTGTATTCATGCATGCATGTGTGTGCAAGCAAACACATGTACATATGTACGTATATAAAGATAAACATGAATATTTTTATTTGCTTGCACAAATGGGATCATACCCTATACAAATTTAGACTCTTTAACCTAATATAATTTGCCATGTTTATTTTCACAGATCTATTACATTCCTTGTATTAACATATAGGCATTTTTATTGTAAAGGTAAGAAAACAGGATAATAAAAGTAAGCCTTTATAGAAACTATTCACAAACCTATGTATATTTCATCTTAACTATTCAGCTTGGATATTATAATTCACTATGTCAAATTCTGCTTGCATTACCAAGAGAACAGGAAAGAAGCATCTCTCTACCCTACTTCTCAGAGAATGCGAGGCTTTAGACCTGCTGCAGGATGCTCCTGATGGATGGGTTTTGATTTTTGTTGGTACCCTGAGATTTTGATTTTTGTTGGTCCTGAGCTATGAGAGATACACAGACAATGAAACCCTGGACCACTTCTCCTCTCCAGGCAGAGCGTCTAAGGAGAACGTGGAAAAATAGGTCTTGGGTGAACATTTGCAATGAGCTCTGGTAACTCATTCCATATGGTAGAAGGGATAAACTGGACGATGCTGCCTGTGAGGAAAACACCAACATCAGGACTTGTCATTCTATAAATGCTGGGACAGCTACAAGAATAAAATAAGCTGAAAACCTTTCCAGACATTTACTTAAAATGATTCATCAGTTTTTAGACATAGTCCGTTTTTAACATCTTGGGGCATCTTAAAATGAATGGTGTCTGACAGGTGGCGGTTGAGACTTACTTGCCTTTGCCTTAAATAATGGACTTTCTTATGCTTTCCTTTGCATATATGCCCAGGAGGCGATGTGAGTTAATCTACATCCAGCTAAGACTAAAAGCTTATTCAGTAAATGTAAAATTTTAATTCTCTGATTTAAAAAAGTATTGTTATAGTTTAACTGGCAGCAGTTTTTCTCTCCTGTGGCATCCTGGTGTCTCAGATTCAAGAAAACTTTTCGGTAGCAATTAGGTCTATTTAGCATTATGATGCAGTGATATATCTTTACAGAGAATTCCCATTAACCAAATTCAGAAATATATCTTTCTACCTTCAAAAAACATCCACCATGCTCCATAATGTGGGTTTAATGTAAATGAATTGTGATCTCTTTTGCACATGCATGATTTCCTTCAGTCCAGTCTTAACATAGCCCAGCTACTTCTAAAGGGGTAAGAGCTCTCCCTGCTCATAATCAATGAAATGAAAAGAGCTGCAGTTCCCAAAAAGGTGTAAATGTTTGTTCTTTACCACAGAATTATGGGAATGTTTTCTTGAGACTGTTAAATATATGAAATATTTTATTTAGAGAGAAAAGTTTTACCTTAGGGCAAAGAGTTCACCCATCTTCTGCATAACTTCTTCATGAGATAGTTTCAGTTTCTTCCCAGCTTTTAAAGCCTATTTGAGAGGGAATTGAAAAACCAAAATGCCATGTATCTCTCTTTCTAATAAGTATTAGGTCAACAGGGCAAAATATGAAGTGGCAAAATTCTGATCCTATGTAAATATTTTTTAGGATGGCTGTCTCCCAGATTTATGTCTCAAATCGCCTTGACATTTTTAATTTTTTTAGGTAGAAATCGTATATTCCTTTTCATTTCCCTTCTCATCAGCATTTCATATGATACATACATTCCTAATCTCTTAGCGGAAAAGCAGGGCCTCCTTTTCCAAGTATAATTAGATTACTCTTTCACAGTAAAGACACGGTTAACTACAATAAAAATGACTTTTAAGGTATATTCAAATTTTAATATAACTTCACATGTATTTTCACGTCATGATTTTTCTCATAATTTAGCAAAACACTTTCTTAGGTCAGGAAAAGTAGTCATAATTTCATTTCTTAGAGAGGAAACATTTCAACTCTTTTCTTTAATCCAGTTACATTAAAAAGTACTGCAACTGATGGGCACGGCGGCTCATGGCCTATAATGCCAGCACTCTGGGAGGCCGAGGCGGGAGGCTCGCTTGAGCAAGGAGTTTGAGACCAGCCTGGGCAACATGGCCAGATCCCATCTCAATTATATTAATAATTTTAAAAAGTATATTGCACCAACAGAGGAAACCAATCTGAAGTTTTAAAAAGTAAAAAGTAATCAATATGAAATTTCTTATTTTGTCATTTTATATGTAACTGGGTGTTCTAGTTTGCATAAGTTCAGTAAGTAGCTTATTGTTTATAATAATGTTGTACTCCTTAACAATCGGCCCTCTGTAAGTTCTGCAATCACAGATTCAACCAACTGCAGTTTGACAATATGTAGAGAAAAAAGGATGATTGCATCTGTACCGAACATGTACAAACTGTTTTTTCTTGTCATTATTTCCTAAGCAATACAGTATGACAGCTATTTACATAGCATTTACATTATATTAGGTATTATAAGTAATCTAGAGATGGTTGAAAGCATACAGGAGCATATGCATAGGTTATATGCAAACGTGATAGCAGGGACTTGAACACTGGTAGATACTGGTATCCAGAGGGGTCTTGGAACAAATCTCCCATGGATACTGAGGGACAACTATATATTGTTATATTGGGAAACTCGTATTTTTTTCCACATAAAAATCAATCCTTGAATAAGCATAAAATTGATGTAATTACCTCAGGAATTGACTGAATAGATTCAATAAATTTGTCCAGTGATGCTTCCCAAATTGCCAGTTTTACTGGGAAAAAAATTAACAATGGAACATTTCTTTATTATCATATTCACATTTATATAAAATACATCATTGCACAGTATCTTCACCACCATTTCAACAGCTTAAGAAAAAGTACTAAAACCTTGAAAATATAATTTAAGAACAGTTAATTATCCCAAAGGACAGAACTAAAATGGACAGAGGAAATGGAATCGCTTCCATGCCCTGTTGGCAGACCAAAGCTACATTTAGTAGAATTCCTGATTTTCTAATATTCCATCTCGGAAACTGAGGAGGGTGGGGTACATGTTGATACCCTGGGTAGCTCTGCAGATGAGGTGGGACTAAGACTTTCCTGGCCTCCCCTTTACTCCTTGGGACTAGGAGTAAGCCTCAGAAATCTCCAAAGCCCCTCAGAGTGGTACGGATAGGCCGCTGCAGCAGCCACCTGATGTAGACTGCTGGCGAAAGAAATGCTTAAAGAATTTCTATAGTTTGATTCTGGGACACGGTTCTTTCAGAACAAACACAGCCTCTGTGACTCTGGCTCCCACTCCTGTGAAACACTAGAGTATGTTTCTCTACACAGGGACCTGTGTCCAGTCACACAAGGCTGGGCTTTCTCTGCCTGGAGTGAAGACTATCTAAGAATAACAATCGCATAGAGAAAAGACAGAAAAACAAGGACTCTAATAATCATCATCTAAAAAATATTTTTGGAGAGGGTACGCTTTATTAATACAATTAATAAGGAATGAGTAACTTCAGCACAGTACTTATCTTTTATACTAGATATTTTTTCTCATGGAGGGAAAAAAAACAAATGCTGAGGCTTTGTTGAGTATTCTGAAAAAATACCGAAATGGTTACAAAGTATTTAAACTCCCCTCAATGAAATGACAACTACAGTACCCTAACCCATAAGCAGCAGTAACTTACCAGAAAGGCAGAGAGCATTGGAGAAAGCAAACTTCTCTAGAATGGCATCATCTAAATCTAGCTCTGAATTTAACTTGATTTCCCCCCTGTGAAGTTTTGACTGTCCCCTGTGAAAAGCAAAAGAATACCTCCTAAATCTTAAAAAGCAATCATATCATCTTTCTGGAGGTCATTTTGACAACTTCTATCAAGTGTTACAAATGTTCTAATATCCTTTGGTTCAAGTAATTCCATTTCTAGGAGTTTATCCTAAGGAAATAATCTAAGGTGCAAAGAAAAATTTGTGTACAAGAAAACCTTTTTTTTTTTTTTTTTTTTTGAGACGGACTCTCTCTGCTGCCCAGGCTGGAGTGCAGTGGCACGATCTTAGCTCACTGCAACCTCAGTCTCCTGGGTTCAAGCGATTCTCCTGCCTCAGCCTTCCCAGTAGGTGGGATTACAGGCATGCGCCACCACGCCCAGCTAATTTTTTTTGTATTTTTAATAGAGATGGGGTTTCACCATGTTGGTCGAACTCCTGACCTCAAATGATCCGCCCACCTTGGCGTCCCAAAGTGCTACAATTACAGTTGTGAGTCACTGCACTCGGTTGAAAACTTTTTAAAAAAATGGTCAGTGTTTAAGAGTGAAAAATTAGGAAAGAAACCAAATGTTCAGTAGGGGTTGGCCCGGTGATAGTCATTCCACCAAGAAAAACTTACAAGCGTGTTTTGGAAGGATAGTTAATTAAAAAAGAGAACGTTCACAATAAATTTCTATGTGAAAAAAATGCTGCATATAAAACTATATATGGAGTGTAATCTAAAATCTCACTGACCTGGTGGGGTTGGCGAGGGAGACAAGGAAGTTGTGAAAAATGAATGTATGACTGTGGGGGACTCTAGACAGGGGATGGGGGAAGGGAGGGAATGTGTGAATATAAACATCACAAATCAATGGAAAAAATACAGGGTAAACCTTCACAAAAGATGTCAGACAAGAGATGGGCAAAGGGAAGAGGACAGGGGCCCGATGGGAGGGTTGTGAGGAAGCATCTGCTATGGCAACCTCAGATAAAGGAAGGAAAGCAAAGACAGCGGTCACAAGAGGGTTTTTTTTTTTTTTTTTTTTTTTTTTAAGACTCTCACTGTCGCCCATGCTGGAGTGCAGTGGCTCAATCTCAGCTCACTACAACCTCTGCCTCTTAGGTTCAAGTGATTCTCCTGCCTCAGCCTCCTGATTAGCTGGGATTATAGGTGGGCACCACCACACCCAGCTAATTTTTATATTTTTAGTAGAGACAGGATCTCACCATGTTGGCCAGGCTGGTCTCGAACTCCTGACCTCAAGTGAATCTGCCTGCCTTGGCCTCCCAAAGTGTTGGGATTACAGGTGTGGGCTACTGTGCCTGGCTATGAGGGGCTTTATGAGTCAGCTCGGCCCATGCCACAGAGCTGAGAAGATCCCTGGAATTTCGCAGGGCTCACATAATAACCATGTAGGTGGCAGCCAGGACAGTCTTTCTGATGAAACGAAATAGCCAACTCTAGGATCCTAAGCATTGAGGATTTTACTCCTCACACACTGTACAGTAACATGTGCGTGTGTGGATAAGCACACATGCACACACACACAAAGGCCTAGTTAACAATAGTTTGATACAGAAGTATTAGGTTGGTGCAAAAGTAATCACGGTTTTTGCCATTTTAATGTAAACCTGATAGAACACAGAAAGGGCTTCATAGGAGCCATCCCCGCAGGCCAAGGGCTGAACAACTGCTAAAGACCGAATTCTACAGGCTGCTCATTTGCTGTCTCTCTCAGGTTTACATCCTTACTTCTGACTGCAGCCACCACTGGGCTCAGACTGACTCACAGTCAGGTGCCCTTTGGCAAGACAGGATGCAGTAAATCTCATCTGAAAGCCAGTTAGCTGCAATTATAGGGGTTTTCTCAGGATTAAATGAAATAATGCATGGAAGGCACTTTAGAAAACCGTGACTGGCCCTACTGGTGGTGAGTATGGATTACTCAGCTCTTATCCCCATCTGGTCTTTCTATAGCTAGTCTCTCTGTCTCTCTTCCGAGTCTTCCCAAAGCTCTGCTTTCAACACTTTTTTTTTTGAGATGGAGTCTTACTCTGTTGCACAGGCTGGAGTGCGGTGGTGCGATCTCAGCTCATGGAAACCTCCGCCTCCTAGGTTCAAGCAATTCTCCTGCCTCAGCCTCCCAAGTGGCTGGGATCACAGGCATGGACCACCACACCCAGCTAATTTTTGCAATTTTAGTAGAGACGGGGTTTCCCCATGTTGGCCAGCCTGTCTTGAACTCCTGACCTCAGGTGATCCTCCCACCCTGGCCTCCCAAAGTGCTGGGATTACAGGTGTGAGCTACTGCATGACATGTTTATTTGTTTTTACATTTGGAAAACACAGAAGCATCTGGCCAACACTACCTTTCTTAAGAACCTACAAAGACTTTGTTTCTCATATTCCACTAGACAGGTAACTCTATGAGGAAAAAGATCCTACCATCCTGATCATACTGCCTCTGTCTCGGCCCTAATATCTCTTCATTTTTTTCCCTCTTGCTGAGTCAGGAAAATCAACTAGTTTGTTGCCTACTCATATATCGTATTGAAAATGGTATACGAGGTCCCACTTCTTCCAGTACCCACATTTCTACAAGTGGGTCTCCTAGACTGCCCCTCTCTATATTTCCTTTTTATACCTCCTCCAAATCAATGGGAAAAAACTGGATTTACTTAAGAGAAAAATTTACTGGAATAATTTGATAGGTTCATTTGATAAATGCATACTATTTTATTGGACTAGGCTGCTTAGAAACTTAAAACTTCCATTTGGAGGCTATACTATTTACTTGTTTTAACTTGTGGATAGCCTGAGAAGTTTAAAGAATTATGCTTATCCTCTAATATTTATTGTATTATGGGTTAGACTTTATATTGTACAACTTTTTTCTTAAAATGAAGTTTCCATATGCGTATCTCCTCTATTGCTTTAGCTAATTTATTCCAAGTGCCCCTTTCAGAAATTTGATGAAAAGTTGCTTACTCTATTTTTATGTAGTTAAGTTCTTCATTTTCCCAGTGTACCAGTGCGATTTCATAGGGCTGAATTTCATGTTTTTCTAGAACTTTCATCACATGCTTCATCTAGAAGAAAAGGAAGATTAACCTGAAATCATAACTGACTTCCTCAGTTCAAGAATGTTATGATTTTAATGCTTTTAAGTCTTTATTCCACTTAAAGGCATTATTTGTGTTGCATGTTTTTAAGGAAAAGGCAAATCCATTGTGATAGTAAACTAGGAGGACATGTTCATTTGTTTTTACATTTGGAAAACACAGATGAGGATGAAGAAGAAAATAAAGGTTATCATTATCTCACAACCCAAAGAAAATCACTAGTAATATTATAATTTGTATTCTTTAAATCTCTTTAATAATCCCAGCACTTTTGGAGGCAGAGGTGGGTGGATACTTGAGCTCAGGAGTTTAAGACCAGCCTGGGCAACATGGCAAGACCCCATCTCTACAAAAAAATACAAAAATTATCTGGGTGTGGTGGCACAGACATGTAGTCCCACCTACCTGAGAGGCTGGCTTGAGCCTGGGAGGTGGAGGTTGCAGTGAACCAATATCAGGCCATTGCACTCCAGCCTGTGTGACAGAGCAAGATCCTATCTCAAAAAAAAAAAAAAAAAAAAATAAAGCCCAAAATACTTATAAAAAATTAAGCCACACAGGTGTGGGAAATGACCATCTCTTTCTCTCTACTCTACTGAAGTCCTAATCCCCAGAGCCAACCATAATTAAACTTGGTGCACATTCTTCCAGACTTTTTATGTGTATATATGTACCTATTTATGTGGCTTTTATGTAAAATAGGATATTACGCACATGAACATTTTCAACACTATTTTCCTTAATAGAGGAACTGCAATTTATTTAACCAACCTAGGTGTCCTCCACAGGGGATTTTTTTCTCCTCTCCATTATTACATCTTCATGGTCTTGTAAGAATATTTCTTTAGGAACTGCTAGATCAAAAGATAATGCACACTTACAAAATATGTGTATATGTAACAGGCAGGGTCTCACTCTGTCACCCAGGCTGGAGTGCAGTGATGTAATCATAGCTCACTGCAGCCTCAAACTCCTGGGCTCAAGTGATCTTCCTGCCTCAGCCTCAGACCACAAGCACGCGCTACAACCCTGGCTAATTTCTAAAAACTTTTTGTAGAGATGAGATCTCACTATGTTGTTTAGGCTGGTCTGGAACTCCTGGGCTTAAGCGATCTTCCCACCCCAGCCTCCCAAATTGACATGATTACAGGTGTGGCTACCACACCTGGCCCACACTTACAATACTGCTAGGCTGCTCTCCAAAACAGTTTTTCCAAATGTAGAATCTAAACATTTATGAAACTACTCTTAAGAAAATGGTGTAATATCAGCTTTTTACATCTTTGCAACTTCAAATAGCCAATTTGTATTTTCTTATATTTACTGGTCATTTGTATTTTCTCTTTTCCAAGTTCCCTTCCCCACTCCCTGCTATGTGTTTCCTTTTAGTAAAATTGGGATTGTATAAAGCATGTTTTTTTTAACCAGTTCTGAGATTATATTGGTTATATTTTGTAACCTGCTTTTTTTTTTTTTTTTTGAGACAGAGTATCTCTCAGTCTCCCAGGCTGGAGTCAGTGGCCTAATCCTGGTTCACTGCAACCTCTGCCTCTGAAGTTCAAGTGATTCTTGTGCCTCAGCCACCCAACTGGCTGGGATTACATGTGCACCACTATGCCCAGCTAATTTTTGTATTTTTAGTAGACATGGGGTTCACCATGTTGGCCAGGCTGGTATCGAACTCCTGGCCTTGGCCTCCTAAAGTGCTGGGAATACAGGCGTGGGCCACTGCACCTGGCCGTGTAGTCTCTCTTTTAATGTAACTGTATTATATATGTAGGTAATCTCCCAGAAACAGATATTTTTTACATGATTTCTAAGGGTATCTATAGTATATCTGTAGTATATGGATGTATTTAACAAACTATTATTGTGTATTTTGGTAATTTCTAATTTTTGCCATTATAAATATTGCTCTATGAACATTTTGTATATAAATCATCATGAATAGTTACGGTTATTTCCTTTGGATAAATTTCTAGGTGGAAAATTGCTGGGGTTAAATATAAAGCTTTAATGTAGACTATCAGTTTGCCTCTAAAAAGTTTGTATTAAATCTTGATTTGGATACTGAAAAACTTATTTCTCACGAGTAGTAAGTTGTAGACAACTTGATCTAAAACAACACCCAATGCGACCAGCATCCAATTAACTGTGTATACATTTTGTATAGTACAACATTCAAGGTCTACAGTACTTTCTTCTGTCTGCAGGATAGTTAGGATGATTCTGATTCTCCACAAATGACTGTGTGTCTAGAAAAATGAAAATGCAGGAATTCTTAACCCAAAATACAATATATTTTTGGAAGATAAAACTGATAAGATAAATATCACATAATGCAGAGCAAATAAGTTGTGCATTACCTATTAATTTCTCTTCTAATGTTTCAGTTTATTGAGTAGTGCTAATTAACAATTCACTCTCACAAAACTAAGTTTTTATACTTTCACATTTTTATTTACACTTACAGTTTTGTCTTTCACATTCCAAAACACAGCAGCTCCTTCCCTGATTCAAAAAAATAAAAGAATCCACTAAGATACAGGTAGAATACATTCTTTAGGGTCATGTATAAAGCCATGTAACTTGTAGAATGTATACAGGATGTAATATTTCAAAATACAATGTACTTACTAGTTTAACATTATGGTCCTTAGGTGAACTTGCTAAAATAAGAGCTAAAATAAAATTCTTGATAAAACCTGACCTCCCAAAAATTTATGATTTTTCACATGGTTTGCAGAATAAATAGCTATTATTGTAATACTATACAACTTCGTGTGTAGACTCTTTCACACTTGGTTCAATTCTGATCCATAGAAATCAGGGTAAGGAAGTTTTGAGACCTTGTCTCAGCTCTCATTGGACAGGCTAATGGGCAAAGAACAAAGGGCTATGCTTTTTTTTTTTTTTTGAGATGGAGTCTTGCTGTGTCGCCCAGGCTGGAGTGCAGTGGCGAAATCTTGGCTCACTGCAACCTCTGCCTCCTGGGTTCAAGCAATCCTCCTGTCTCAGCCTTCCAAGTAGCTGGGACTACAGGTGCATGCCACTGTGCCCAGCTAATTTTTTATATTTTTTAGTAGAGACGGGATTTCACCATGTTGCCCAGGCTGGTGGCAAACTCCTGAGCTCAGGTAATCCACCTGCCTTGGCCTCCTAAAGTGCTGGGATTACAGGTGTGAGCCACTGCACCTGGCCAAGGGTTATGCTTTTAGTCGGACTAATTTAAGTGTCAGATGGCTAAAAGCCTCTATGGATTAATGCTACCCATGCTCATAGTGCTTTGAACAGAACTACAATGAAGCCATAGGAAGCCCTCTGAATCCGATTACGGCTTTGACATTATTTAGGGTCTAACACTATAAATGCACTTGTTTTGATTTCTGAAGTCTGATGTGTTGATGCTATTTTAGGTAATAAATAAAAACAGGAGTTATGGCTCAGGGTTACTGCACTGGAGAAAGGAAAAGAGGAAATAGAAGAAATGTAAAAATATTAACGATCCCATGTCATTCTTTAAACATCTCTAAAGTAAAGTGCTTAGTATATGTGTGGGTCCGTGCTCAGTATCTGTGACAGAAAGATGAGTATGACTGCATTCTTATCCTCAATCTAGAAAAGACTGGGACTGGCACTGAGACCACCAATTACAATAGTGTGTGGTCAGCGCTATAAGAGTATGCAGAGTATACTACGGAACGTATACCAGAGGGACCCTTCTGCCGAAGGACTAGCAGAGGTAGCCAAATGAGAAAACAAGAGGAGACAACAGAGCAGAGGAGACACACAGGCTCAGGGAGGAGGTGGGAGGGAGCAGAGCAGCATCTTGGAATAAACAGCCAGTAGATGCATGGCTGCAGATGTGGTCAAGTAGAGGGCAACCAGGTTAAAGAGGCAAGTAGCGGCCAATCCTGAAGGGAACTTTATGCGGTGATAAAGAATTTGTTTATATTCCATAGAAATTTAGGCAGGAGAGTGTAGTGGTCAGAAATGCCCACTGAAGAATGACCCTGCTTACAACAAGATAGACGGACTGGTGGTGGGTGAGCAGGAAGGCAGGGAGACAATAAGTAAGCTGTTACAATAGGCCAGGAGAAGGTTTCAGGATATGGATTTAAGAGGTATTTCAAGCCACAGCCACAGTATCAGTTCAGAGAATCCCTTCCAGGCAGAAGAGAGGCCTGGTGAATTGCGTATTCCTCCGTCTAGAGCTGTCCTGTGCAACACTGTACTCAGCTCCCTTCCCTACTCAGAAACCACATGTGGCTACTGGGTGCTCGGAACATGCCTGGTGCAAACTGAGATGCACTGTAAGTGTAAAATACATAGCAAAATTCAAAGACTTACTATAGACAGTGAAGAAATATTATTAACAACATGTTGAAATGATATTTTAGGTAGGCTGGGTTGAAAAAAATACATTGTTAAAATTAACTTCAAGAAACATATTTGTGTTGTTCAAAATTAATTTTATCTTTTAAAAAAAATATTTAAAATGTGGTTACTGGAAAATGTATCAGTACATATGAGGCTTGCATTATATTTCTACTGAACAGTGCTGCTCTAGAGGCCCTCAAATATCTAAATTCCTCACCTGGAACAACAGGAATGCTATTATTCCACTTGAATTAAAGTTGGAATCTTGATTATCTTTAAAGATGGGGTCAAAAGGAAGTTAGGCATTGAATGGAAAAATGAACTTCCACTTCTCATCAACTATAAGGATTGTGACCACAAAAACTTGACTCAGCTTTGGATTCTCACAGATGTTCCATGTGTTTTTGTTCTGCCGCGTACTAGTCTCATGACTATGGGTAATTCACTTAGTTCCTATGGCCCTCAGTTTCCTCAGCTGCAAAATGGGAATAACAGACCTTCATCGAGTGTGGTGAGGACAAACGAGGTTATTTCACATGGTCCCATCATCATTATCATTCCCAGGCAGCCACTGTGGAGTATTCAGTATTGAGTCAGGCTTCAGATAAAAGGATTAAATGTGTTTATGAGTCTCTTACTCTAAAGCCTCTGGAGAGGTAAGCTAAAACTTTAAACAGTTACCAAAGGGGAAGGGAGAAAAGAAAGAAAATAGAGAGAAGAGCCAGCAGGGAGGCAGCAGGAGTTTCCCTGGGGCAAGAGTCTGACCAAGGGCACTGAAGATGAATGGGAAATCGGCTGCTTTCCAAGAATTTAGTCCATGAAAATCCGTGTTTACAAAGAAAGACACGCCAGGAAAGATCATTCACTTGTTTGAAAAACTCCTTACTTCATAAGAGAGTTTACCAGAGGATTCCTAAAAGTGACAAACTCTCCTAGATTAAAAAAGAATTAAATGATAAACTTAAATCACAAATACAGTTTGAACACGTGTTCTGTTAAGCAAGGTATGCCTGCACCTTTAAAGACCACACTTACTCGGCCCCAACCCATCACCACCTAATGGGGTTTCTTTCTTTTCTTACCTGAAGAAGAATATTGTTCCAGGATCACCTTCTTTTGCAGAATTTTCTACACCTATCACCAAAATATTTGCTGCATCTGTGATTTAAAATAAATGAACATATAAGCTTGTCAAGGTAACACAAGCTATAAGAATCACCTATAAACACTTTAATAAAGTACTTAAGATCATTTCTTTATATGCCATGGAGTGCTCTGTAACACAATCACCATCTTTTTACTAAGGCCTCTGAAAGGATTTAATATATAAAAATGCAAATATGAACACCAAAAGAATGATATGCAATTACTTTTATAAAACATCCAACCTGTGATATTATTATCAGAGCTCATTCATACCCATTTTGATTCAATAACACTAGTCCAGATAATTATTAAAGTCTTAGGTTCGATACAACTAAGCTTCAAGAATTAAACTTCTATGAAATTAAGTTAAAATTTGAAGAATATATTCTCTTCCTTTAAATACTATTTTATTAATAATACAATTTTAATATTCCAAAACTACTCCTTCTGTTGAATTTTAAAGTGTAAAGAGTAAGGCAATAGAAAATACATAGAAATAATGATACTGACCATTTCAAAACATGTCTAATTTCAAGGTTAACCACTGCAAGGGCTACCGCTGCAGCCACCTGCAACTATTTAAAATAGTTTATTTATTTATTTTTTTTGAGACAGGGTCTTGCTCTATGTCCAAGGCTGAAATGCAGCGCCATGATCTCAGCTCAATGCAGCCTCAACCTCCTGGACTCGAGGCTCCTCCCTCTCCCAAGTAGCTTGGACTACAGGCATGTGCAGTTTGTTTATGTTTTGCAGAGATGAGGTCTCACTATATTGCTCAGGCTGGTCTTGAACTCCTGAGCTCAAGCCATCTGCCTGCCTTGGACTCACAAAGTACATTACAGGCATGAGCCAGGGGGCCTGGCCTAAGTATTATTAAACATAAAAAACATACCAACATTCATCATAAGAAGTTGCTTAACGTAGTATAGTGATATTTATCATAAGCATATATTCCGTAATATAAATTATAAACAATATGTTAATATATCAATAAATAAACATACTATTTTTTTTTTTTTTTTTGAGATGGAGTCTGGCTCTGTCGCCCAGGCTGGAGTGCAGTGGTGTGATTTCAGCTCACCACAACCTCACCTCCTGGGTTCAAGCAATTCTCATGCCTCAGCCTCCCAAACAGCTGAAACTACAGGCGTGTGCCACCATGCCCGGCTATTTTTCTTTTTTGTATTTTTAATAGAGACAGGCTTTCACCATGTTAGCCAGGATGGTCTCAATCTCCTGACCTTGTGATCTGCCCACCTTGGCCTCCCAAAGTGCTGGGATTATAGGTGTGAGCCACTGTGCCCAGCCAAATATACTATTATTAACTTGCAAAAAGTCATATGTAATCTCTTAATGTCAAATTGGGATCTTCAAAGCTTCAGAAATTCCTGGTAAAGGCTGGGTGATGGGCAATTCAGACAGAGACCAAAACTCTGATATTTTCTTTTTGGTAAATTGTTGATTACTACGATAGGACAGAGTTTGCCTGATGCAGCCAAAAGCAAAAAAAAATGGACTGAAACAACCCAGGGCAGTGAAGCCCCCAATCCTGAGATGCATCAACCACACAGCTGACAGCCTTCAGAGTCAGCCAATAATACCTTCAAGCAAATTTTCATCCTAAGGGGCTACAGACATAGCTCTGTCTTCTCAGTCAACGATGCTTGTTTTGTCACCTAATCACACAGTCTGTTTGGATTCTCAAGACCAAAAAACACAATACTTCAAATATCTTCTATCGGATTGACTCTTAAGAATTTCCTCTGCTGTAGGAAGGCTTTCAACCTAGTTTTGCTACTCTGAGGTAAATTAATTCATGTTCTAAGTATTGGGCTATCCTGGGTTTTACTGTAGAAGTTTCTTCATCAAAATGTTCTAAGTAACTTATTTATTTTTGAGACAGAGTCTCTCTCTGTTGTCCAGGCTGGAGTGCAGTGGTGTGATCTTGGCTTACTGCAACCTCTGCCTCTCAGGTTCAAGTGATTCTCCTGTCTCAGCTTCCTGAATAGCTGGAATTACAGGCACACACCACCACGCCCAGCTAATTTTTGCATTTTTAGTAGAGATAGGGTTTTACCATGTTGGGCAGGCTGGTCTTGAACTCCTGACCTCAAGTGATCCACCAGCGTCAGCCTCCCAAAGTGCTGGGATTATAGGCCTGAGCCACCACACCAGGCCTATATTATTTTTAATTAATGTAAAGCAAGCTATTTCTCAAGAATCCTTCCTGATAGCACCCTAAAATCCTCAATTAACTTCATTTTAATTTTCTTATTTTTCATATTTTATCTTTTAACTAATTGTTTTAAAGTATTAGATTGAGCTGGTAAACTTTTTTTAAACAGATCTCCCCATGTCTACCAACTTCACGATTCTCCTGTAATACTCTGTAATACTAAAATAACTTCTTAATGTGATAGAAATGAATAGTATGACCTCTGACCACCTCAAGTAATAATGATAATAAATCATACTGATTTTAATGAGAAGCTCTGTGTAAACACATTTTATTTTCTTATCTTTGTCATCTGAAGAGATTCAACATCCACTTTTATGATGTAATCCTTTCAAAAGAAAATATATTGTAAACAAATACATACTTAAGATAGTATCATAGGAAAATTATCCAATACATTTTAACATACTTGGCCCCCGGTTCAAGAAGAAGTACCTCGAGGCAAGCTTGTTACTTCAACATATCCGTGGGAGGCCAGATCTTGAGACAGATTTCCCAGATGATACTCATCTGCCGTTGCAAAGGCTGTGCAGTGCATTAGGTCCTGTTCCAGGGAGATGGGCACAACATAGGTTACCAAGAGGCTGAAGCATCCGCGATAGCCGCTGAGTGCCCTATGGGACACCATTCTGCAAAGCTAGAACTCCAGAGTTTTCTTCAAACACCTCAAAGGGCAATAGAAGGGATGGGATGAAGATGAAGAGAACGAAGCTACTGGGATACAAATTTCAGCTTGATCTTCAAAAGAACTTGCTCCCTCCCTCCCACCAGCCAAAAAGATGGAATGGATTAATCTGAAAGGGAAGCCATTCGCAACTGGTAGTGTCTCAAGCACAGACCGAATGAAAAATACAGAGATGATTAAGGCATCACATGGGTGACTGGCTGGAATGATAGTTAAGTCTCTCCAACCCTGAGTTTCCATGACTCTTTTCTTTTTCCTTTTTTAAAAAGACAGTCTCGCTCTGTCACCCAGGCTGGAGTGCAGTGGCGCAATCATGGCTCCCTGCAACCTCCACCTCCCGGGTTCAAGTGATTTTCCTGCCTCAGCCTCCTGAATAGCTGGGATTACAGGCATGTGCCATCACGCCCAGGTAATTATTTGTATTTTTAGTAGAGATGTGGTTTCATCATGTTGGCCAGGCTGGTCTCGAACTCCTGACCTCGTGATCCAACCACCTCAGCCTCCTGAAGTGCTGGGATTACAGGCATGAGCCACTGCGCCGGCTCCATGACTCTTTTTCAAAGCAACATCAGTATTTGAGGTCATTTTCTAATTTGTAACTACTCTTGTCCAGGCAGATTCCTTTACATCCCCAAAGGAATTACAGCATTTTTACTCTGGTTAACATTAAACAAAAAGGTTTGTAAATCTGAGCATATGTCTTGGTTTTGGTTAGTACTTTGGTTCATGCCCCATCTTGCCTGTGTACACATGAGGAAAGTCACGTTGTGTCTATACAATATACAGATGGTAAGCACTATGGTTCAATGCTCTGTTTTTTCAAACTGTAGGTCACAATACATTAGTGAGTTCTGATATCAGTTTAGTTGGCCCAAAACAGCTTTTTAATAAAACTAAATAGAAAATATTACAGCATATTATTCATAGGAAATGCTAGTTTATAAAGTTTTCTGTCACTTATATGCATCTGTATGTCTACGCTAGGTCGCTATGTATGTAAAATGTTAAATATATTTCTCACTGTGAGATGTGGTTGATGAAGTTTGAAAGCTATTGGCATAAGAGTTAAGATTTTAGGCACAAGTTGGTTACAATTGTAAAAGAATATCAGAATAACAAGAATGCCTACTTTATGGGGTTGTTGTAAAGTTTAAATAAGCTAATAAATATAAACGGCTCAGGACTGTGGCTAATACAAATGTTCAACGGTTGTTAGATCCTAGTTGGCCAAAAGAAGTTATGAGTCACTAAATCAACATTTATTCTTAGGACTTACTCATCTCAGCTCCCCAATTCTTTCCCGTTCTGTTACATTCCCAGTATGAAATTCTGGATAAGTATATATTAATTCATTCCTTTCTCCCACCTCCATTCGGTAACTCCTGGCTCTTTCTCATGAAATGGCCTGACCCTGTTTGCCCTTCCTCAATCTGTTCCACAGTTCTGATGTGTGGTTTAAAAGCAGAGGAATACTTTGGGAGGCCAAGGTGGGCGGATCACGAGGTCAGGAGTTTGAGACCAGCCTGGCCAATATGGTGAAACCCTGTCTCTACTAAAAAATACAAAAATTAGCCGGTGGTATGCGCCTGTAGTCCCAGCTACTCGGGAGGCTGAGGCAGGGGAATCGCTGGAACCTGAGAGTCAGAGGTTGTAGTGAGCTGAGATCAAGCCACTGCACTCCAGTCTGGGCAACAGAGAAAGATTCCATCTCCAAAAAAAAAAAAAAAAAAAAAAAGGTAGAGGAATAACAGACAACCTGAGGATCCATGCAAGCTGAAAAATCCAAAATCAATAAGTATCTACTCATAAGCAAAATGCAACTAATTCAATTAGGAAAAAATAAAGACAAGCTGAAATTACTGGGGAATCTGGAGATAAGTAGATGTAGTACCCTCATCATGAGCAGATAACTGCTGATTCCTTCCAAATTAGCTAATTGCCATAGTCACAAAGAAAGCAGGAACACAGGGATATACAAATAAAAATGTATCAGGAGTTACCAGAGTACAGGGAAGAGGTTATGTGCTTACGGTTTAGACCTGTGAGCACTAGTTCTTTTTAAGGCTCCATGGAGTTAAAAGGAGCTGACATGCTATGTGTTTAGAGATTCAGCTAGCTGAAAGAAAGGAATCCTAGCAAGGGGCGTCAGGCGAGACATCACGCAGGCTCCACTCTGTAAGACCTGACAAATTCACTCAAGCTTGCCAGGTAAAATCACAGCACATTAAGATGTCAGAATTACTTCTATGATGGCTATAGCTGATGTGCATAGTTTGGTCTGAAGTGGGAAGAGGAGGAAGCCCAAAAAGGAGATAAGGTCACAAGCTAGTCCACTGAAGGATCTTCCTGTAGATGTACTGAAAATGGCAGAGGCTGTCTCTTTTGCTAGAATTAGAGTTGTAAACTGGCAGCTCAGAGAACCATCCAATTCAAGAGCTGACCTAATCACATTTCTAAAGTTCGAATTGACTTGTCAACAATAAATGGAGATTTCACACAAAATCCAGGTTTCCATCATCTTCACCTTCTGAGTGGAAGGTCTGGCAATAATGGGCTAGGGCGGGAGCCGAGGGTCTCCAGCCCACACCGTCTCTGCCTCTCCCTGTTGTCTCACATCTGCTTCACCATCATGTGTTACTGGCCAAGCCCATCTGCGCTAAGTATGTGTACTACTTTTATTTTTTCCCCCAAAAAAATCTTGGCCAGGCACGATGGCTCATGCCTGTAATCCCAGCACTTTGGGAGGCTTAGGCGGGCGGATCACTTGAGGTCAGGAGTTTGAGACCAGCCTGGCCAAGATGGTGAAACCCTGGCTCCACTAAAAACACAAAAATTAGCCGGGCTTGGTGGGGCATGCCTGTAATCCCAGCTACCTGGGAGCCTGAGGCAGGAGAATCCCTTGCAACCAGGAGACAGAGGTTGCAGTGAGCTGAGATTGCACCACTGCACTCTAGCCTGGGTAACACAGTGAGACTCCGTCCCAAAAAACAAACAAACTTTATGTTCCTTTATTGGAGCAATATTCCAGACTGATATACAGTGATATATTTACTAAACAGAGACCTGTGCAGAAATTACATATTATCCACGCAGACAGGTTGTTATATTTTGCCTATTGATGGAATAGTTCCATTTATCAAGTTTTATACATCAAAAAGCTTTGAATTTCATCAGGCTGTCCATTAATTCACCTCTGAAAAAGTGGCATTTAATTTCAGCTACTATATTTTAGAGCATATAAAAAGCTTATCCATTGGGTGCTTCTCTGCACAATGGCATTTTGCGGACAGAGATGAGTCCATTATCCCACCCGGATTCACATAGTCACATTTGAGAGCTTTATACCAGAGAGCCAGGACAAAGTTACTCCTAACCAACACAGACTTCTTATTCTCAGCTCCTGTCTTCTGGGCCACATTTTATAGTGCCAATTAAGACATGCCAGCAACTGCCCCATATACAGCTTGGCATTAGAGTACAAGGTCTGTTTGATGGCGGTGGCAGGCACTATTCTCTTATTCTATTTTTTTTATTTACTATTTTTTGAGATGAAATCTCCCTCTGTCACCCAGGTGGGAGAGCAGTGGTGCAATCTCAGCTCACTGCACCACCTCTTGGGTTCAGGCAATCCTCCTGCCTCAGCCTCCAGAGTAGCTGAGATTACAGGCATGCACCACCACACCTGGTGAATTTTTGTATTTTTAGTAGAGATGGGGTTTTGCCATGTTGGCCCCGGCTGGTCTCAAACATATGACCTCAGGTGATCTGCTCACCTTGGCCTCCCAAAGTGCTAGGATTACAGGCATGAGCCACCATGCCCGGCCAGGCATTTTGTTATTTTAAATCAAGGTAAAAGGCCAATTTTAAAAACTGCCACTTGGGAGATAAAAAATAAAGGGCACAATATATTCAGAATTGAGTTTTCGGCAATCTGGTATTTCAAATCATGTGAATATTCAGAAACTAACGGCAAATTGAGAATGCATACTATTTTGAAGTCTCAAGGCCGGGACAAGGCAAGTCATTCAATCACTATTTTTATGAGAAAATACATTCTAAGCTCCAAATAGATTATGAATAAATCTTTAAACATAATCTGTTTTCACTTAGCCATCCTAAGCATCTTTGCTATAGGTTTTCCAGACTGTCAACTGTCCCCTTCCCTTCTCCCGGCATCTCTCATTTAGTTTGGCAAAAAATTTCCACCCAGTGTCACTCAGCTTACATGGTTTGCCACACTACTTTCTGTATTCTCCTTAAACTTCTTAGATCTGGGTCTCTTTCAGTTGTGAGCTTTTTCTATTAATAGATGAACTTGACTTTTTAGACATTTTGTTTTGGTTTTGTTTTCTTTTTTCTTTTAGCCTATTTGGTAAAAGGAAAAAGAACCATGGAATGTCTTGTCTGCTTTTTTTTCTTCTTCTTCTTATTTTTTATGCATCTCTTTCTGGATTTTTATAGTGAATCTTAATTCAGCATTAGTTACATGCATATAAAGCATATTTTGGGTTTCAGGATGGGGATCAGCAACTTGCTCTTAAATAGATGTGCCAAACCAACCAATAATAGTTATAAGATTTAGGGCTTTTCTACTTTAAAATGTTTTTTAAAAAACCCAAAAAACAAAAACCCCCGAACCACTGTATTTCAGTATGTTTGCTTTTTTTCTGGCTACAGAAGACATGTTCCAGCAGATGGGGCTAGAAATCTACATATGATTCTCATTTTAGCAGTATCACATGCTCTGATCAGAACATTTTTTAAAAAATGGTATTTTTATTTACACTGTATTACTGAAGAAAATTAGAGTATTACAGCAATGTTGCTTCTATAGTGATATAATAAATTTACATTTGGTCTTTGTCCTTGGTTCCCAGTACCGACTCCTAAAATCTTTGTAATTTTCTAAGTGACAGGGGCATTTTTGGTTGTAATATTTGATCTTTGCCGTCGGTTACTAACACAAAGCTTCTCAATCCCTTGGAATTTCACGAGTGCTAGGAACATCTTTTGTTTTAATGAGGTGACTCTCAGTGTGCTCCTGGACAGCTTCAGGATGGGGGGTGGTTACCAGAAAGACCAAACTTTGATTTAGAAGCTTAGAACTTTCAGCCCCATCCTTAACCTCTGGTGAACGGCAAGGGGCTGGAGGTTGGGTTAATCATCAATCATGGCTACGCAATGAAACCTCCACAAAAACACCTCAGTGATGGGGTCTGGAGAACTCCTGGGTTGATCAATGCATCCATGTGCCGATTCTACAAGGAAAAGCAGCTCCTGAGTTCCAGGCCCTTCTAGACTGCACCCTATGCACCTCTTCATTTGGCTGTTCATTTGTATACTTCATAAAAAGTCAGTAAAGGTAAATGAAGTGATGCCCTGAGTTCTGTGGGCCATTCTAGCAAATCATCAAACCTGAAGAGGGGGTGGTGGTCATGGAGCTGGTTGGTCAGAAGCATAGGTGTCAATGGGGAGGGCAGTCTTGCAGGGCTGAGCTTAACTAACTGTGGGGTCCGCACTGACTGATGCTGGAACTGAACTGAATTTCAGGACACCTTGTTAGTGTCTGGAGAACCAGAGAACTGGCTGGGGTGAGGAGGAAAAGGCCCCCACATATTTGGTGTCAGAAGTACTGTGAGTAGATAGATCACACTAAGGAAAAATGCCTTTTCTCCTGCAATGTACTGACTGGAGATGAAAGCTATAAAAACACAGATACAATTTACGTGACCAGTATTGTGCTTTATCTTATAAGTTTTTTTGACTATAACCCATAAGAAATCACTATACATAGTACGTATACAACTATATGCTCACACACCAATAACTGCCACAACAGCTTCACAAACCAGTATTAAACTTATTAATGAGCAATGTATTCTGTTATTTCCTTTCCTTTTTTTTTTTGAGACGGAAAAAAAAAGGAGTTTCACTCTTTTCTGCCCAGGCTGGAGTGCAATGGGGCGATCTCAGCTTACTGCAACCTCCACCTCTTGGGTTCAAGCAATTCTCCTGCCTCAGCCTCCCCAAGTGGCTGGGATTATAGACGTGTGCCACTATACCTGGCTAATTTTGTATTTTTAGTAGAGACAGGGTTTCACCATGTTGGTCAGGCTGGTCTTGAATTCCTGACCTTGTGATCCACCTGCCTCAGCCTCCCAAAGTGCGGGGAATACAGGCCTGAGCACCATGCACGGCCTTGTATTCTGTTTTCTATTCTATTTCATTTTTCAAAAAAATGGTTAACAATCCACTAGTGCTTTTGTAATACACTGTGCTATTAGCCTGAAAACACTCTCCCTGGTGTCAGGCTCCCTGCCACTCAGACCCACCGTTCCCATCCTCTGCTGTTCTCTTCAAAGACAGGACATTAACAAGAAGCGCTGCTATCACTGTTTTTGTTTTTTTTGTCTGTTTGTTAGTGACGGGGTCTCACTTTGTCGCCCAGGCTAGATGAAGTGAGGTGCAGTCATGGTTCACTGCAGCCTGGAACCCCTGCGCTCAAGTGATCCTCCCACCTCAGCCTCTTGAGTAGCTAGGACTACAGGTGCGCACCACCACGCCTGGCTAATTTTAAGTCTTTTAGAAATGGGAGTCTTGCTATGTTGCCAGGCTGGTCTTCAACTTCTGGCAAGCGGTCCTCCTGCAGCAGCCTCCCAAAGCACTGAAATTATAGGCATGAGCCACTGCACTCACTATTGCTTTTAGTAATTGTAAACCAATGGGATGTAGGTTGAATATCTCAGATTCTGAAAGTCTTGTTCTGTCTCCCAGGCTGGAGTGTAGGCATGATCTCAGCTCACTGCAACCTCTGCTCCCTGGGTTCAAGCAATTCTCCTGCCTCAGCCTCCTGAGCAGCTGGGATTACAGGTGTGCACCACCAATCCCGGCTAATTTTTGTATTTTTGTAGAGTCAGCGTTTCACCGTGTTAGCCAGTCTGGTCTTGAACTCCTGACCTAAGTAATCCGCCTGCCTTGGCGTCCCAAATTCCTAGGATAACAGGCGTGATGAGCCACTGCCTGGCCAGAAACATATGATTTTCTATTATTTTCCTGTGCTTTCAGAAAGACAGCATATGGCTTGTTTTTGCCAATCTCCAACTGAGGTCATTGTCTATCATGTTACATAACGTCTCCTATAACAGGACCCAGGAAATAACTGACTCCTTCATTTCAGTGCTGGAAAAAGTTATTTCTCTTAAGACATTTTTGTTTTTACTCTGCATTTCCCCCACAACAATAAACAACAAACAATAAATCCCAGGAAGACTTCCTCTTTTAATTACTGGGCTTCTCAAAACAAAATGTTCAACTACATTATTCATTTCAGGTACTTCGTAACATTCATATCTCTGTTCATGTCAACAATTTGCTCTGACTAATATGTAAAGTATTTATTATCTCATTTGAAACGATGGTGAATGTTAAAAATCTACTTCAAATTCTTTCCTGGAAGAAGTAGAAAAAAAAAATCCTAAAGAAAAATAAGAAATGGTATTTGGGAACATTGTTTCCAAGTCTAAGGATGGCCCAAAGAAACAGTCTGGGGACTTCTCTGACCCTATCGGGTTCTTCCTAAGAAACACTGTGCTGCTACATGTAACAAAAGAAAAGAAGTTGAGTTTTCTTTTTTTTTGGATCTGCCATGAATTCAGGTTTTTATACTTACTGTCATCTCCGTCACCTAAATACTGAATTTCCCAGGTTACCCCAAAGCTCGAGCAAAAGGAAAGGGGAGCGGTACCTGCACCACACTTCCATCTTTCACATCCTGGGTTCAGAGACACCGTACAAGAACTGAAACCATTCCAGAATCCAACACAAAAACCATGCATTAATTCCTAGCTCAGAATCTGAGGATGAGTAAAGGTAATGTATGCCTTTCCAAGGGATGTCAGCTGCACAGCAATAAAAACACAGCCCAAATTCAACAGGCTCAGGGGATACTTTTCAGAATTGAGACTTGAAGACCGACATTCGAACCCGTTTTCTGATAGATTCAGACGTCTTCATCAACTTTCAAATATCTTTAATGTTAATGACTATGGACATTAAAGATCCTCTTGCCTCTTTTTGATCCTTTCCAATTTAATAAACATTTAAGTACAAGGCATAGTTCTAGGTATTAAGCAACATACAAAGGTTACCAAGGGCTTAACTTGACCCTTGAATTGCTATTAAAGGAGAAATGCAAATTGTAGCAGAAAAATTCCTAGAAATCCCATAAAGGTGAATAAAAAAATACACCCTTTCACCTTAAGAGTATTAAAAAACAACCCCCCCCGCCTTGCTGCTTTTGGAGTCTACCCTACTGTGTCATTTCACCACCCTATGCACAGATTTCACAGCATAAAAAAGGCCAATTTGTCTGCAGTTACAATTTTTTTTAAAATTTGATGAAGAATTTCTAGTTTGTTTTTTAATGGGTTTTTATTACAGTCTCATTCTTAGACTACACTTATTACTAGTCCTCATTTTCCGTTTCCTTAGACCAATAACTAAATCTTTCACAAATTGTATTTTCATGTTTTATTGCCTGTATTTTGTTTTTATATCTATCATTAATTCTTAAACATTAAGATTTTGGCAGGCTGGGCGTGGTGTCTCACACCTGTAATCCCAGCACTTTGGGAGGCCGGGGCGGGCGGATCACAAGGTCAGGAGTTCAAGACCAGCCTGACCAACATGGTGAAATCTCGTCTCTACTAAAAATACAAAAATTAGCCAGGTGTATTGGCTCATGTCTGTAGTCCCAGCTACCCAGGGGGCTGAGGCAGGAAAATTGCTTGAACCTGGGAGACAGAGGTTGCAGTGAGTCGAGATTGTGCCACTGCACTCCAGCCTGGGCGACAGTGAGACGCTGTCTCAACAACAACAAAAGCAACAAAAATTAAGATTTCAAATCCCTTTGGATATTTATTAGGCTTTAAAGATCTTGATGAAGAAGTCTGAGTTGACTGCCTCTTCTCTTACACTGGCGGTAAGGCTGGGGTGCAGTGCACACTGTTTAGCGTGAGCAATGATCACTTAGCAGAAGAGCCATGGCCACCCCAAATTTACCTCGTTCACAGACAGAACTGGAAGGTTGGTCCTGGATGGCTGCCTGGTCCTGGATGCTTTTAGTGGTCTCTTGATCTGTGGAAAGCCTTGTTTTGGAACAAATGTTTCCGTTGACAAAGATGAGAAATGCCTCTTTAGTATTTTTCTAAACCATTTAGAACCCAATAGATTTGGTCTGTGGGTCACTCTCCTGTGAGTACCAAAGCAATTCACGGTCGGAAGGCGTGCCTTTTCATCTTGGGAATGAGCAGCATTTAATGGAGACAGCATGCTTGTAGTTGATTTTTTCTGGTTCATTTCCAGGATGTGAGACTTATTCAAACCACCAGCTGTTTTATCAGGAAGGAACAAATCCAAGTTTTGACGTATTGTCAGTGTGCTGCATGTTGTATTTTCAAATTCCTTAACTGACTTTAACGTTAGATGACCAATTCTTCGGCACTGATGTGCTTTTGATAATATACGGTGAGATCCAGCCACAGCTCTGAGAAGTCTGGCTGGCATTACCACATCTCAAGCTAAAAGAAAAGGAATTCAAAGTTCAAGTTCTTAAATTAATGTTTAAAACATATATAATATTCCTCTAGGTAACAGGCATATTTTTGCAAAAAAATTTGTAAAACAGATACATCCTAAGCTAATTCTAGTAAAAGAACAAAGTTGAAAAAATAAGTACAACATTTTTGCCACTTTGCCTTTATTTAGTCTTCTTCCTGGAAGATCACAAGATTATAAAGTTACTGACATAACAAGAACCTTAAAAAAAATAGAGATGGGACCACTTCATTTACTTCATCAGCATATCCACTAACTTGAGCCCAGGAGATTTGAGGCTGCAGTGACCCATGATTATACCACTGCACTCCAGCCTGCTTTTTTCTGTCTCAGGGAAAACAAAATCAGGAAAGGCTCCCAGAAAGTTCTAAGCTGATTCTAGAAGAGGAAGGGGCTTTTCAGCTCGTGGCTGGGCATGGGCATGCATGAGGCATGTCAGGTACATACATGAACATTCCAGATAAGGGAAACAGAATTTCCCCCTTACAGTACAAAATGTGTTAAAGTTAGCCTACAGCAGGCTACACGCAGTAGCTCACGCTTGTAATCCCAGCACTCTGTTAGGCCGAAGTTGGGGAGGAAATCATTTGAGGCCAGGAGTTCAAGACTAGCCTGGACAGAATGGCAAAAACCCCATCTCTACTAAAAATACAAAAAAAAATTAGCCAGGCATGGTGGTGCATGCCCTAATCCCAGCTACTCAGGTGGCTGAGATACAGAATTGCTTGAATCAGGAAGGCAGAGGTCGCAGTGAGTCAGGATCACCCCACTGGACTCCAGCCTGGGCAACAGAGTAAGACTCTGTTTCCTGCCCACCCCCCCCCCAAAAAAGTTAAACTATAGTCATCAATAATTCTTTTTTAAAAATAACATGTTATATGCCAGAGATACATGAATTAATGATCTCAGAATTCAAAGCCTAGCAGAGGAAAAGTATCAGATGCACCAACTGCTCTAGTCCAGAGAAAGGAGCATGTGAGGAGTGCGGCATCGTCACAGAGATGACATGTGAACCATTGAAAGGGCAGATGGATCAGCAAGTCAAACACCCTAGGCATAAAGTCCTGTATCTCACAAACAGGGTGCAATTTCAGGGAAGGTAGGAGTGAGTTGCAGGAGACAAGGACCAAAAAAGAGCCGGTGGCCAGATCACTGAAGGATCTACACAGTCATCCTAGAGAGTCGCTACAGGTGGGGAGAAGGCTGAGCTTTCAGCTGTGAGAGTCACACGGTCAAATGTATGTTCATGAAACAAATTTTTGGTGATGATGTGCAGGAGGAACCTAAAGAGACGCCAACATCACTCTGAGCGCTTTCTACACTCAAGTGACTCAGCTTCACCTCATAATGATCCCATTTCACTGCGTAGGAAATTGAGGTTTAAAGAGGCTAAGTGCTTACTGCTAAGAAGCTACAGAGGTGTAATTAAAATAAAAGCCAGCCTTTCCCAATTCCAAAGTCAACACTCTTACCCACCAGCTTGTATTTATTACCTCTCTCCAGGTAAGGACAAAGATGATTCAGAGGTGCTACTTAGGAGGTAGAACCTCCTGCTTTCAAAATCCATTCAAAAGTTGGTACTCTGTGCTTCATTCATTCTAGTCCAATTGGCTACTGTAGTTCACCTTTAGTTAGTATCATTCCATGCAGTTGAACCCCTTAATTTTGAAGAACCTAACTATAAAATATTTTAGGAATTTGTCTACTGTCTTGTATTCTTTCATTCTCTTTGAGTAAATTCTATTTATTTATTTATTTTTTTTGAGATGAGGAGTCTCACTCTGTCACTCAGGCTGGAGTGCAGTGGTGACACCTCAGTTCACTGCAACCCCCACCTCCCAGGTTCAAGCAATTCTGTCTCAGCCTCCGGAGTAGCTGGGATTACACATGTGTGCCTCCAAGCCCAGCTAATTCATATATATATATATATATATATATAGGCAGAGATGGGGTTTCAATGTCTTGGTCAGGCTGGTCTCCAACTCCTGACCTCAAATGATTCACCCACCTCGGCCTCCCAAATTGCTGGGAATACAGGCGTGAGCCACTGCACCTGACCTGTTTGACTAAATTCTTTACCTCAAAACTCTTAATGACTGCCTTAATATGGAGGCTTCATGAAGCACTATTACAATGAATGTAAAAAATCAGATATTACTATGATTGTGTCAATTCTTAATGATTTCTATAACCATGCTGATCAGTGATGGGATGATTGTTCCAATACCCTGGCCTCTGAGTTCCCTGATCTCCCTTTCTGAATGGTCCTGTTTCTCATTCTTCCTCAGCCACTCATGCCCATGGTCATTATCCTCTGACCTGTAAAGTAGCCACTAGACAATTCACATTGCTATTGAGCCACTGAACTCTGGCTGGTATAAATTGAGCCTTAATTTTTTTAAAAGTAAAATATCTCAATTTTTATATCAATTACTTGTTGAATTAATATGTCTGGGTATACTGAGCTAAATAAAACACATTATTCAAATAAATTTTACTTTTTTTTTTTTTTGAGATGGAGTTTCGCTCTTGCTGCCCAGGCTGGAGTGCAATGGTTCAATCTTGACTCACCCCAACCTCTGCCTCCCAGGTTCAAGCGATTCTCCTGCCTTAGTCTCCTGAGTAGCTGGGATTACAGGTGCCTGCCACCAGGTCCAGTTAATTTTTTGTATTTAATAGACACACGGTTTCATCATGTTGGACAGGCTGGTCTTGAACTCCTGACATCAGGTGCTCCCCCTAACCCCAGGTCTCCCAAAGTGTTCAGATTACAGGCATGAGCCACTGAGCCCAGCCCATTCTTATTTTTATCATTGCAGCTTCTAGAAAGCTTAAGATTACATTTGTGGCTTTCATTGTTTTTCTATCAGACGGGGCTCTCTTGTCATTATCAATACATGCCACTTCCTCATCTCAATTTCATGCATTCTACTCTCTCAACTCTCCTATCTTTGTATCTCACTCCTTCTTTACCCAATTCCAACAATTCTTCAACTCCAACAGGACCCACAAGCCAATGATCCAACCACCTTTTCACTCTCTCACTCCTCATGACTTCACTTCCTCTATATCCAGTTTACATGCCATGGTCTACCATCAAAATCTTTCTTATACACCCAGAATCCCTTGCATCCCTTTTTTTTTTGTCTTCCCCATTCATGAGCACTAATTAACATCTTCATAACTGCTAAGCCAAAAACGTGGAGTCCACCTTGACTCTTCTCTTTATTCTCCATATCCAACTTGTCAGTAAATCCCACAGGCCTCATCTGGACCACTGCTCATCATTAATAATAATACTACGTGTTCCAAACTGCTATCCTTCCCATGGATTAATATAACAGCTTCTTAACCAGTTTCCTTGATTCTGTTTTGGTTCCCCTACAGATTCTTCTCAACACAGCAACCAAAGTGATCCTTTCAAGCTGAATCTCTTCTCAGTGCAAAATCTGGCTATGGCTTGAGGATCACTTACAATAAAAGCTAAAGCCCTCCGACCAGGCGTGGTGGCTCACGCCTGTAATCCCAGCACTTTGGGAGGGATCACTTGAGGTCAGGAGTTCCATGCCAGCCTGGCCAACACGGTGAAAACCGGTGTCTACTAAAAATACAAAAATTAGCCGGGCATGGTGGCCTGGGGCTATAATCCCAGCTACTCGGGAGGCTGAGGCACCGGAATTGCTTGAAACCGGGAAGCGGAGGTTGCAGTGAGCTGAGATTGCGCCACTGCACTCCAGCCTGAACAACAGCAAAAAAGGCCGGGCGCAGTGGCTCACGCCTGTAATCCCAACACTTTGGGAGGCTGAGGCGGGTGAATCATCACGAGGTCAGGAGTTCGAGACCAGCTTGGCCAACATGGTGAAACCCCGTCTCTCCTAAAAATACCAAAAAAATTAGCTGAGCGTGCTGGTGGGCGCCTGTAATCTCAGCTACTAGGGAGGCTGAGGCAGGAGAATCGCTTGAATCCGGGAGGCAGAGGTTGCAGCCAGGGCAACAGTGTGTGACTTCGTCTAGGGGTGGAGGGAAAGCCAAAGCCCCCAAAATGGCTCGCATGGCACTACATTCTCCGGCCCTTTATCACCACTCTGACAGCACTCTTCTTTGCTTATCATCCTCCTCATTCTGGCCTCTGGATCTTCGCACTTACTGTTCCTTATGCTCTTCTCCCAGGGATCTGAAAGGTTCACACCCTGACCTCCTTCAATGTTTGCTAAAATGTCTTCTATTCGGTGAAGCCTTCCCCAGCTACTACATTTAAAACACACAACCAGCACCCATTCTCTACCTTCGTCCACTTTGCATTTCTCCATTGTTTAACATCACTTGCATACCTTTTAATTTTTAATTTATTAATTGATACTGCAAACATGAACTCAGTTCTTACCATGCGCCAGGCATTGTCCTGGTTGCTGACTATACAGCTGCAAATAAAAAAAAAATTCCTTACCTTTTGAACCTTACATTACATTGGGAGTGAAAGACAAAAACATGGTAAATCAGTAAAATATGTCAGAGAACGATAAAGGAAAAATATAAAAGAGGAAAAGGGCAGATTTGTGGGTTTTCCCTCTATAATGAAGGGTATGCTTGCGGATACACATTTTTGCGTTTTTTCCTACTGTATCTCCTGACAATAGCACCCAGCACATAGCAGGCATTCGATCGAATTTTTAAAATGAAACACAAGGCAGTTACTCAGTTCCCGGACACATTTCAACTTTTAGAGAACAATGATACCAATTATGAAAATCGGTTACAGCTAGGCTATGATTTAAGGGAAAAGTGGCGCTCATCTTTGGGGGCATGCAGTCCGATTCTTCAAACCCAAAATTATTCTATCGATTTCTGCAGTTACTGAGGTGCACTGGCTCAAAAAAAGGGTTCACTAATTGATTGCGTGCTTTTCACTCCCAGCTAAGTCGACCAAAGATCACCGTAAGAGGCTAGGGGTCACAGCCGCACTGGCGTAACCCGCAACGCTACATGTTCCGGGCAGCCAGGAGCCGCGGCGCAGACCTCCGAGCCGGACACAGGAGCTGCTAGGGAAAAGCAATTATACACTAACCTCTCCGCCGGAAGAGAAGCAGGAAGCGCCAGGGACGCACGCTTCCTCGGCAGGACTGCAGGGAAAGAGCCGCAGCAGCAGCCTCTCACGAACACAGCCACCCCCTCTCCCGGAAGGACGCTCCCTCCCGGGCTCCCAATACTGCGCAGGCGCACTGAACTCCGGTCCCACGGACAGCAAGCAACTCTGGCCACGTGACTGTCTGACCACGTGATCCAAGCCGCCGCGACCCCTTCCGCTCCTTAGGCCCTGGGACCTCCCGGTCCTTGCCTGCTTCCGCCTTCCGCTAACTTTCATATTCGCTCCTCTAATTGCCCTCCGCTGTGCCCGCCTTCGTCCCCGGAAGTTTGGGTCCTCTGGCCAGCCACTGTTTGCCGCTTGTACGGGAACTAAATAAAGTTCCTTTATTCAAAAGCACTTTTTTTTTTTTTTTTAAAACTACATCACCCCCATTCTGAGCTCCTCCTTCGCCGCGGTACCGCCTCTGTTCCTGTTGCGGTTGAACGCCGAGTTTTGCGGCCGGGATCGCGGATCGTGATGGCTGGCGTCCCGGCATCTCTTTCAGGACGGGACGTGGGGTTCGTCTCATTTTTCTCCTCCCAACTTTTGCGGAAAGCCGGGCCTCGCCGGGAGCTTGTGGGGATTAAGCGGAGGGCGCCCGCACCCCGGCGAGCTGCAGGAGATTCGGCTGTTCGAGTCCCGTCGCCGGGCGCGGCTTCCTGGGACTCCTTTGAGGGTTTCGCGGACTGACTCGGAGGCGTGGGGAGGCGGCCCCGGGGAGGGAGTCCGCCCGCGGCGGCTGCTTGGAAGGATCAGGACAAGTTTCAGCTTCGCAGTCTGTTGCTGGCGGTTACCTTTTACTTACTCCCTTGGTAAACGCCGTTTGGGCCCGTTAAAATTCTCCGTAAGAGTTGGGGATCTCAGAGCTATTAAGAAACGGGTTTCTTCCTGTTAATCAAATCATAATCTCACAGTAAGAAATGTCTGTAGTTTTTTGCTTTATCGTCGTCCCGCTGCAGATTCTTGGGTAAAGTTGCAGGTGACTGTGCAAATAACATCTGTTTGCATAAATTGAATGGCCAAATTTATATTTGAAATTGGTCCGTACTTCAAAATATTACAAAAGACGAGAACACGTTGAAGAAAATAAACCTGGGCAGAAAATAGGTTGAGGCCACTGAAGTGGCGCCAATGGCCCAAAATTGAAGCAGGCGCTCAGTCTCAGGTCATGCAAGTATAGAGTGTCTCCTTCAATTTTGTGCCTTAGGGCTTCTGGCCTTACAACAGTCCTGGCCAGAAACTTTACTCCAGAGGTGCAGGAAATATACTGTAGTAGTTAGAACAACAGTAGTACTTTCCAATTAAAGTAAAATCTCAAAAAACGACTTACTGTATCTACTGCCTGGGAAAATTCAAGTGACAGTTGATTTAATGTTCCTGCCCACCCTCTGAGGTGTTAGTGATTAATTTTATTAATGATTTTTAAAAATTAAAATCTGATCAACATAGTTATTATGCACATTAAAACCTAATGACTGTTTTGGGTGAGACTGAAAGCACCTCAGAGTCAGAAAGTAAGTTCTATAGCTATCATTTGAGGTAACTTTTTGAAGAAGTGCTCAAGTTACAGCCTAATAATTTTTTTTTTCTTTTTTTTTTTTTTGAGACGAGTCTGTCTCTCTCTGTGGCCAGGCTGGAGTGCAGTGGTGCGATCTCGGCTCACTGCAACCTCTGCCTCCCAGGTTCAAGTGATTCTCCTGCCTTATCCTCCCGAGTAGCTGGGACTATAGGCGCATGTCACCACAGCTAATTTTTGTATTTTTAGTAGAGACAGGGTTTCACCTTTTTAGCCAGGATAGTCATGATCTCCTGACCTTGTAATCCGCCCACCTCAGTTTACCAAAGTATTGGGATTACAGGCGTGAGCCACCGCACCCGGCCACAACCTAATAATTTAACAATGGTCCCTTGTGATTCGAAGATAAAAACGCTAGTCAGCTAAGCTCTGTGCGCTATATTTAAAACTGCACAGAATTTCACTACCAAATCTTGTTTTTTTGTAACTGAATCATATGTATTTTCTTAAAATGATGTAAAATAATAATCTGTAAGTCTTGGTTTTTGTATGTATAAAATGAAGAATGTCTTTAATTTTTTAATGCAGGTTTAAATTTTTCTTCATCTCCCGCTTGCTTCTTTCTTGGACACTTCTATAAAATTTCTAATTTTTTGACTGGGAGAGAGACAGGAGCATGCCTTCATTTGCTTAGGGGCAGAATAGGATGGAAGGAGTCTGCAGATAGAGAAGGCAGAGAAGGGGAAAACCTTTGAAAAATGTTAAAATTGAGTTAGAATATAGACAGAGAATCGAGGGAAACAGGCTTATAAGTGCCTTTAATTCTTTATGTTGTTCAAGCACATTAGACACTTTCAGGTAATTTTTAGATGTATTGTTCCATTCCTCTTTTGTTTTATTTTTTTTTTTTTTTTGGAGACAGAGTTTCGCTCTTCTTGCCCAGACTGGAATGCAGTGGCGTGATCTCAGCTCAAGGCAACCTCCGCCCCCCAGGTTCAAGTGATTCTCCTCCCTCAGCCTCTTGAGTAGCTGGGATTACAGGCATGTGCCACGGCAGCTAATTTTGTGTAAATACAGGGTTTCTCCATGTTGGTCAGGCTGGTCTTGAACTCCCGACCTCAGGTGATCTGCCCACCTCAGTCTCTCAAAGTGCTGGGATTACAGGCGTGAGCCACCTTGCCCAGCCACTTCATTCATCTTTCTAAGCAGGTGACTTAGTAGGTAGTAGCCCGGGAACAAGAGCCTGTTTGTTTTCTGACCCTAATCCATTCCCTATCTTATTACTAAAGGAGTTTCTGATTTAGGAAAATAAAAGGAACAGAGTAGGAAAGAAAACAATGATTAAAGAGACTCCATGGGAGAATCTGGGATGAGAGGCACCAAGACTGCTTTGCTTCCACCACATACCAGATAAGTTTTCAGGTTTTCTTATGTCTTAATGTAGTAATCACACAATACTTGTCTACCTTTTAATAGTTGTATGAGCCGTTTAATAAACATGAAATGTTCCAGAAACTAAAAGATGGCCAGTCTTCTAGTATTGATGCTATTAAGTAATATATTGTATGTGACTCTTTTTTCTAGGTCATTTGCATATCTTACAGTTAAAGACAGAATACCACAGATCTTAACTAAGGTTATTGATACATTGCATCGACATAAAAGTGAATTTTTTGAGAAACATGGAGAGGTAAGAATTGTTTCAACTTTTATTTATTAATTCTCAACAGAAATGTAATAAATAGTTATTGAAGGTACCAGTTTTTCTTTAAATGTAAAAATCAATAGGTGGGCCAAATATTCATTTGGTTTTAATGTAATGTGTTGAAATGAAGATAGAACAGCCAATCTGCAATTTAGAAAATAATTATATTCCAACAATTAATTCTGTTATTTAGACCTCAGAATATATTTTCTAATATATGCAATGTTATAAATAGTGACTAGTCTCCTCTGGGCATGGTGGCTCACGCCTGTAGTCCCAGCACTTTGGGAGGCCAAGGCAGGCAGATCACCTGAGGTCGGGAGTTCGAGACTAGCCTGACCAACATGAAGAAACCCTGTCTCTACTAAAAATACAAAATTAACCAGGCGTGGTGGCTCGCACCTGTAATCCCAGCTACTCAGGAAGCTGAAGCCGAAGAATTGCTTGAGCCCGGGAGGTGGAGGTTGTGGTGAGCCGAGATTTCGCCATTGTACTCCAGCCTGGGCAACAAGAATGAAACTCCATCACAATAAATAAATAAAATAATAATTGGTGAGTAGACAACAGACTTGCAATTGACTTAGTCAAGTGACTAAGCAATTGAGTTGCTCAGAAAAGCTTTTTAGATTTCAAATTTAATTTGAGCTGCAGTATTTATGTTACTAACTTGAAATCTTGAGTCCTGGAAGCTCAAACTGGTATGCAAAGGTCAGTGATATGAATTATAATTGACACATTGCACTGATTAAAGTTGGGACTCATTAGAATTCAGTGCAGAATATGACTTTAGAAATCACTTTGTCCATTCAATTAATGAATGAGGAAAACTCTGAATAACTATGTTATGTTAGAGACAGGTCTTTAAACTTGTAGGTTCAGTAATCTTTCTCTTACACAATAGGCTATAAAAGAGCATCCATACACCAGTACATTTTTTTAAAGAGTTGAAAACAGAGATTTAGGGAAATGGTTGGTGGTCTTTTCTCCTTGGCCCAATTGAAATGGAGCAAGGCAACACATAGGCAGTTTGAGTGTAATGTTCTATTGCTTTCAACTTCTTTTATATTGACTTCTTTGAAACTAATCTTGACATAACACAGGGATCACCTATTCCTTATTGCTGAAATCCAGCTTAATTTAGACACTGACAGTTCCATTGATGAATGGTTTTAATGTTCGTCACATAAACGTAATTTTGATTAATGACAAACCTTTATCACTCAAGTATAATTTAGCCAAATTTGGATAGTTCACTTAAGTAATTGGTCATATACGTAAGCAAATTACCATAATACTTTTGTTTTAGTTGTTGTTTTGTTTTTTTGAGACAGGGTCTTGTTCTGTGTACCAGGCTAGAGTGCAGTGGTGCAATCAGAGTTCACTGCAGCCTCAAACTCCTAGATTCCAGCAATTCTCCCATCTAAGCATCCTAAAGTGGTGGTATTACAGGTGCGAGCCACTGTGCCTGGCTGAGACCTCGATCACTTCGGGGTCACCACCTGAGATGTTGATCACCTCCTGCAGAGGTGTGTCCTGCAGACCCTAACTCAATGACAGGATGAATAAATGCACTCACACACACTAGAATACAGTGAATCTGAGTGGGGTAGGGATGGTTGTCAGCTGCTTTCACAGGGCAATTGCAGCTAACTGACCATTATTCCCTGTCCTCCTTGCTTTTATTCAGTATAGATTTAATAACAGAGGTTCTAAGTGAACATGCTTGTGGATAATTAACATGGTTAAAAGAGTGGTTTTACGAATGATAAAAGATCTTGGTTCCAGGGCCCAGAATAAACACTATTAGTGGGTGATTCTCCTTCCACCTCCCCCTGAGAAGGCCATCAGCACCAAGTTTACATGAGTAAACAGAGTAGAGACAAAGAA